AATTGAAAATGTCAGCAATTTAAAGTTGATTGTAACGGACTAACAGAGCAATTTAAAATTTGTATATTAGCAATATAAAGTTGACTGTAACAGACTAACAAAGCGATTTATTTTTGATATATTGATTTAATTATCTATGCATGATAGTGTAATTATTATTATTATTATTATTATTATTATTATTATTATTATTATTATTATTATTATTATTATTTACACAATATAAGAGCATGTTAAATTTTGTTATGAGCCTTATGAGGATAATTTTATGAGATCAATTTGAGTTAGTTTCTCAAGAAAAATTAAAGTTTACCTAATACAATATAATACTCCCTCCAATTCATTATATTTGTCGTTTTGGCATTTGGGCTCATTTACTAAATAATTGTCGTTTTAAGTTTTTTTTTTCAATATTTTTCCACATTTACCCCATCCACCTGATAAGCATTGTCTCTTCAGACTTCATATACCCACTTCTCACATATCGGTCCACATTTTTAATTTGAGTTAATGAGGGTATTATTGGAAAATAAATATCCCTTAATTACTGTGCAAAAAGCCAAAACGTCAATTATATTGAATTGGAGGGAGTATATAACTAACACTTGAATTGGCTTATCAGCTTTATTAGCCACTCAATTTATAACTTACACTACTTAATCAACCATCTGATTATCAAAGGAAGATAATGTGGCTTTTTGCACCGGAATTTTTCCCAAAATCATGCTATTTAAAGGCGCTATATTGACTGGGAAATATATCTGCATTGATTTGAATGTTCAATGAGTTGTTCCATGTAATATAGCGACACGTGACCTGAAGTTCAAAAGCTTAAAAATACAGTGGAAGTTGAATTTGTGTTCAATGGCGTACTAGTTACTTGTTGACGAGCGATTGCTAACAATTCTTAGTTACGAACTAATTAAGAGTATATTAGATGTGATTTATATGAAGGTTTGATGTGCATTAATGTGTAATGAAGCGGGAAAGTACGAAAATGAAGGGTGCACGCGATGTTGCCGATCTGTTGGGAGCTCGGCAGGGAGAGTGAATTCTCTGAGAAAATGACTGTCGACAGTTTTTTGTTACAATGACAACTCTTGTGTGTTGTGTTTGAGCTTATTATTAATGGTATTCGGTGATGTTGTTGTGTTGTAGTGTTTATGAGGTGCTAGATGCCTAATTTATATGTGAAAAAAATGTAAAATACAATTAAGTTGCCACTTTAGCAGCTAGGTGATCGACGCGTGATGTCATGCAGAAATCCGGCTTAATTTTGAGAATGAGAGGCGTATTCTAGCTCTCTGCATGGCAATACTTATTATTAGGCGGTGGGAAAAGACCTATTGAGCGGTAACTTAACTTTACCAGCTTCAGCGGCTTTACGGGTTAAATTTGTCAAAGAGCACTCACATTCTGTCGACATATAGGTCTTCCGAGGGATATTCTTAGGCCAGAGTCTTCTTTTCTTTTAGGTCAGCTTTGACTTTCGAAACACGCATATAGATTCCAAATCTTCGTCCCCAAAAAGAGAGGAATCGATAGTCCAAAGCCGCGACTATGTACTGAGTCACAAATACAAAATTGCAAACATATGAACTTTCGCCAAAAAAAAATAAATAAATAAAAATAAAAAATCAAATATTAATGTATAAGATCATGAGCTTGTTTTAGACTCATGTGACAGTAAATCCATTTTTTTTTTTTTTTTNNNTTTTTTTGGTTGTATGTTGATAGCATTGAAAACAACACCAATTGAACGGTAGAACTTAAAAAACAAGGCCTTTGTGAAAAGCTTCTCTATAAAGCGTACAAGTAAAAATTGGAACTAATTAATCCACCTAATTCAACTAATTAAACAATAACTCATGATGAGGGGTGTTAGCATACCTTCCATTTTATAAAGTATTGTAGTTTCAAATCATATAAGAGATACTATTTAAATTATATATTTCTTACAAAGTTAGATTAACCTTCTTAAAGCTAGGCTATAATATATCAAATATTTGATGAGGATGCGCCTAAACCAATCATTCTACAAAAAAAATATTAAAGTGAACAATTGTTGAAATAAGTTTGATACAGAGTGATAATATAAGATACCCTAATAATTTGATATTATAATTGACATATATAATATCAATTATATAAAGTTGATATGATTATAAAACCACAAGATTCTTGTGTGGCTATATGTCAAACTTTATCTCATCGATTATGTTCGTGCAGTATGATCCTTAAATTTTGTACTAATTTCAAAAGACAAATTCACTAAAGAGGTATAAATTAGGAAATTGTCGATCGAGTCTAGAGTTTTATTTTATTATTATTTTTTTTAATAAAGAACCATCCTGGAGGATGGGATTAAGGCGGGATCCTCTATCTGTACATAGGCGAAATACCCTTAGGCCTCGTTTACTAGCAAGGACAGGATTAGATTAGGTCGGTTAACCAACCTAATCCTTTGTTTACTAGGCAGGTTAATGATAGAAAAAAAATGATGTGGAGGTTAGCTGGCAAGTGGGTCTGATCGCATTAA